TTCCTAGGGGGTGAATTGAGAAATGGGAAACATGACTTGCCTGTTCCTGAAGCATGCCGCAGCCTGTGCCATGAGCTAGTGTGATATGGAGCTGGCTGGGTGAAGTGAGCCATTTCATTTGGATTGCCTTCATGCTGAGGTGAATCAGAGGCTGTGTGGGAGTCTCACACGATAACTGAACTACCTGTCTGTGGTGTTTGAAATACACATCTGTCCCTTGTGTCATTTCGTACAAAACCTATCCTCTGTGATTTAAGGTTGCCATACAGTTGTATGCTCTGCAGTTTGTAATTAAAAGCCAATTATTATTGTGCATCCCAGCATTTTAGCACAGTTGCCATGCGTTACAATGTCATTAGACTAAGTGACTCTCATTTTCCTTCAAGTTTTTCCTTCTTGAAGGAGTTTTTTGATGAAAAATCCCAACCTGCCCCTTTCTTACACTGCATAAGTTAGGTTTGGCCTTTGGCTCAGATCAAGTGCAGCATTTATAATGGAGCCCATTACCTGGACTATCAGGCCTTATTGCTTACTTTTGCAATGGGACAGCCTTACTCTTTTACTTAAGCCTGTGATCCAAACCCATTCCTCACTTGAATTGTTTAAGGAGAGTTTGAAGGTAAGAGACCTTACATTTAACATGGGAGGAGAAAGAGTTGAGTTTCCCATCTGCTGAAGCACAAAAATAAACCAGAAGCACACAGATACAAGGAAAGCTCCCCCCCTCTCCTTTGTACCTCTGTAGTCCTTGGCATTATGAAACTCTGATCCCAAGTGAGGCAGCCCTGGACTGCCTTAAGAAAATCTCCAGTAACTCGGCAATGCTGTGAGCTTTCCCAGCAAGCCTCACTCTACATTTCTAACCACGGACACACATACAAAGTCCACATCAATCCAAACTAGATCCTAGCCATGGTTGCAGTGCCAAGCACCCACCTCTCACCCAGAGCAGAGAGGCCAGCCCCAGCTCAGGAAAAGCTGTAGGCATGAGACCCTCCATTCCCCCCATCCCCCCTTCTTGTGTCTTTAGGGTCTCTGGACAGCAGCCGTGACACTCCAGCAGCAAGGGAGCAGAGACACGGCTCAGCCATGGACCAGCGTCTGACCAGCAGCACAACCGGGATGGGATCAGGAGCAATAACACACCTGTCCTGTTGCAACACCAGGAGTGCCAGCCCCAGGGTGCTGAGCAGCCTGACAGCCCTCAGCTGTGGTGCTGCCTCCTTCACCCTAACACAGACCACCAGGGTCACTGGGGGAGCCCCGTGCAGACTGCAGGAATTGGGGTCAGGGCATCAGCTTCTCCATTGCCTCAGGTGCGACACAGATGTGCCACTTCCAGGCTCCGTGTGGCCGGTGACAGCAGTGACCTCTGAGAGGGCTCCGCCCTGGGCACAGCTCCAGCCCCAGGCGTGGAGGCCTGTAGAGCCCAGGCCCAGGGCCAGGGCCCTCTGCTGCCTACACTGCCTGGTTAGCCAGCGGCACCTTGGGCTGTGGAGCCACGAGGCTGGTCGCTTCTTCCCAGCTCCCTACTCTCTATTCCCAGTTCCTTATGCCTTACATTACCCCATCTTAACCTGACCTTCAGTTAGGGTCATTAGGCATTTTACACATTCACTAGCACACGGGCCTAGCTAATGAAACCCTCCCCCTCTCTCTCTCTCTTCAGGGGTGCAATTCATTCACACCAATCTTTCATGGCGTCTACACGAGCTTTGAGAGAGGAGCTGGGAAGAAGCGCCCACGCGCAGCCCGGCGCAGCGG